TGTCCATTAATACTGTTGCTGGAACAGTAGTTACCGTTTTGGAAGAACCACGACAGAAACCCGTATGTCCCATAACGCAGTACAAGAAACTGTAGTTACCTGTTCCAAGGGAGCCACGACAATCCGCCTATCAGAGTCCGAAGACGAATCAACGAATAGTCTTTGTAAGTAGTATCAACTACAATAATTATACATATATTGAGATTCAGAGTATTACATCGACAAGCACTAAGGACGAAGAAACGACTCTTAAAACGACAGTGCGGAATAAATTCCAGTACGCGTCCTCAAGTTTCGCACCCGCCAAGGGCATCCCACTTCGTAACCCTCACCTTAGTTCAAGTTCGGAAGCTTACGAAAGAAAGCAAAACCCAACGCAAGTGCAGACAATCCAGTTTCGCACCACTTGTGATATCTTTCAATCATAAAGCCGCATTCATAACCTCAACCATACACGTGCTCATTCAAAAGGCGCTAGAGTCAATGAACGAAAACTTCGCTCCATTCACCATTCATATTCAATAATCAAGCTGCATAGATTATTGTACAGTTGTCTCCGCAACACATCACTTCAAACAAGAATTAAGTTCTACAAGTAATAATAGTAATACTAGTCAACCTTGTCATTAATAAATAACAGAATAAAAAGCATATACTTCAGCCATATCTCTATTGTATTATTATAATATCCCTTCCTCTTGTGACCTGTCATCGCTACCACACAACACCTGTGGTCTCTGAGTTGTCAACGGCATCAAATTGTATCCGTCGAACCGGCCTTGATAAAACAAGTCGGAACGACGGGGTGCATTTTTTACATACAGGAATTATGATATTTGATTTTATTTATTTATATTTATTATATGCAGTTAAATTAGGAAAAATTTCATTTATCTTTTTTAAATTAAAGTGAGTAAATTATAAAAATTGTATAATAATATGGGGTAATAATATAATAATTGGGATAAGAAGAGATGTGAAAATTGCCATTTTAATAATTAATAAATTTTCATTTACTTTGTATTGTGGTCATTTGTTATATATTTTAATGTAAACACAGTTTTTTTATATTTAATTAAATTTAGACTATTTGATTAGAGCATAAGAAACTAAAAAGTTATTAAATGTATAGTCATAAATATGTTATTATAGTAAATAAAACTAAATTATGTATAAAACAAATTGCATTTTCACATAAAATAGGTTAAATAAAAGAGAAAATAAAAATTTATTAATTCGCACTCATAAAATAAAAATATATTAAATAGAAGAATAGCATAAAGTACATGAATGGTACATAAAAATTAAAATTTAGTTTGTTTAGAGATTTATTCATATTTTTAAATTGGATAACTTAAATAGGATAATGTACAAGACGTATGCGCCGTTCCGGCTTGTTTTACCGAGATCGGTTCGAAGGATACAAATTTATGTCGTTGGCAACTCAGAGATCACGGGTGTTGTGTGATAGCGATGAAAGGTCACAAGTGGAAGGGATATTATAATAATACAATATAAATACGGCTGATGTATATGCTATTTATTCTGTTATTTATTGATGACAAGGTTGACCAGTATTACTATTATTAATTATTGAAATAACTCTTGAATTGGATTGATGTATTTGCGGTGGAAAACGTACACTCATCTAATGCAGCTTGATGGTTTGTATATGAGCGTAGAATGGCGCGAAGTCTGTTTCGTCGATACTCGCGCTGTTTGTGTGAGCACGTGCGTAGTTGACGTTATGGTTGTAAGTAGCGCAACACATGTAACTGTTGTTACTTGCGGATATACTCGTATCGTAGTCTTGATATTGTCTGGCAATATTTGTTCAGATGAAAGTAAGAGTTTGAAAGGCTTTACCTCGTGAAGGATACTGCTACGTGTTGTGTCTGCTAAGAGTGTTGAATGGCACGCTGTATAGATTCATAAGCGTCCGATTTTGAACTAAGAAGAGGGTAAAGGCCCGCAAGTCTCGCATCAGTTGACGCGACCTTGACGACGAATTTGGATTTATTCCGCATTATCTCTCTGGTGAGAGCCTTATCTTCTTTGGTTTCTTGTCAATGACAGATTCTCTGAATCTTATTTTTTTAGCTGATTATTGTAGTAATGATACTACTTACGAAAACAGTCATTGAGATGAGATTGTATTATTCTGCAAGTGTCCTCAAACTTTTCTGATCGGGCTTACCAGTTGAAACGAATCGTTTACAAATTCTAAGCGTGACACAGTTTTGCCAGTATCACCTTGTTCGGAAAATAATCCCACAATTTGAATTGTCAGCCAAACGTGTAATAATTAACTTGGAACAATAAAACCCACTAGATGTTATGTGGGGTTGCCGGGCAAGTAAAGGGTGAATGCACTGATTAATGATTAACACATGTCATTATTATTTCTATTTATTTGAATTGATTTACAAAAGGGTGAATTACAGACGAACTTTATATTTCTTGATAATCTTGTGGTGTTGAAATATATTTACTATGAATGAAGCAGGTTATAATCTATTGAATATTATCACTAAGAGGTTATCATGATTGTAGTGCTCTGATCGAACACTGGAATGC